CAGTTGAGAGTAAGAAAGAAGTGAAGAGTAGTAAAGTGCGAGGCCATTATATTCCCTCCAGCAGCCCCAGACGAGCCATCAGATGATGATGGCCTCATAGTGAGACCAGCAGAAGAACTGCCTGGGCCGCCGGCTCGTGGAATCATGATGACGAGAAATGAAAAATCACTGTAATTTTAAGCCACGAGAGGGTGTGGGAGATTGCTATGTGGAAATAGATAACTGACACACTTCTCAGAAAAAGGTTGCACACATACCCATGAAACAGTCAGGATTCTTTCCTGAGTTCAAACAGCACTTTGTCCATTCTTCTAGTACAAGATGAAGCACATATAATCATGGGTCTACTTGTACCTGTTTCTCTCACTAGATTAAGAGCTTTTGAAAAGTGGAGGCCAGGTTTTTGTTCATCTTACTCTTTCCTGTGACTACTCTAGTGCCTGGAGCTTGGGAACCATGGATGCTTGTTAGCAGGTCACATACTACCAACTCCTGAAATGCCTTCCCTTGCCCTCTGGGACTCATGGTCAAGAATAAGAAAAATAATCTGGTATTATCTTCATCAGCTTTTCTTACCCAGTGGCCCTACTTCCCAGCAGCCCTTTTATGTGACAGCGATTTTCCTCCTATGGCTTACCTATTCTGGGGTGTGAAGGAACATTAGTGACTTGCTTCTCATGGCTACACTCAGACTACTTTCATTTCCATCCTCTTGAAACCGTGAGACCATCAGGTTGTGAGAAAGCTGAGTCTATTTTGTGGAGACTCAAAGTTCCTCCTTTTCTTCCTGATCTCTTTAGAAGGCCACTTCTCATCCCATGGAGATTGTACCACAGACTAACGAGCACCTTCTCCAATGCCTCTCCAGCAGTGATTTCAATATGCCTGTGGCTCAAACTTCCAGTGTCATGGCCCCTTAGCTCTTGGTCTCTTTTCTTCCAATGGGTGTGCTCTCCATCCTTTCTCAGCCAGACCTTAGACAGTCATATCTTAGACCACTCTATCACCAATAGCTGTAACCTCTCCATGGTCTCCATTCCAAACATCTGTCCAATGACTACTTGCTGTATCTCCAGCTCTCTTATTCTTGCCTTGAACTTTCAAATTCTTCTGCCACTAGAATTACAAATTGTTCACTCCTCTTCATGCTCCCTTATCCCATCTCACGTTCTTGCTTTTCTCTGTTATAATTTAATGGTCAATCATTTTAGTTGCTCCCTTGCCTGTCTCTTGATTTGTTGCACTTTCATAGTTGCTGTAGCGTTGTGTCCAATTTTCTGCCTGAAACAAACTGACTTCAGAGTTAAATGTGGTTGAGAAAGAATTATCACTCTTTAAACTTGTAAGTAATCCTGAGAGGGCCCGTAATGCCACCTAGGAATGAAAGCTTCATTTAACTACTCTGGTCTCTTTTCTTTCCTAGACCATTTTGTGGTTTGTGATCTCTCGTGAAAACTTCATCATCTCTACCATCTTTACTTTCCATATTGCTAAGAAAGTAGTGGCAACGAGGAAAGAAATTCTACCCATTCCTACCTACTCGATCCTTGCTTCCCTTCCTCTTATGAATATATGGTACATGTTTCCAGCTAAAGCTCCCTGCTCACCTGCATTTTCAATCTGCTTTTACCTACTCATTGGTCTCAATCTTTGAATGTTCTTTTTCCAGTATAATTTTGTCCCCTCTCTTGAGTCATTCCTATCATCATAAAATACACTGTAATTTCCACTTTTAGAAAACCTACGTGTGCTGACCTAATGTCTCCCACTACATACACATGCATTTCTTTTTCTGCAGGAAAAAATCCCTTCAAATATTAACTATGCTCACTACCCCAAAAATGCTTTCCTCCCATTGTGATTTGAAGCCATTCCAATAGTCTTTTTGTCCCCAGTATTTTATACAACGTGCACTTACTAAAGTCAGCAATGAATCCAATGCTGCTAAACTCAACGATCAACTATCAGCCCTTTGCATACTTGATTATCTGTGGTATTTGGCTCCGATCACTCCCCTTTTCCTTGCAACTCTTTCTAGAAAATTTAGCTTTTGAAGAGTCATATCCTGATTTTCTTTCTTGTCTCTAGCAATTTTTTTCCTTTGTGTTTTTCTCCTTATCTTCCTGATCTCTTTATATAGTTGTATCTCAAATTTTAGGACTTGGACGATGTATTCTCCATCTCTACTCACTGCCTCTGGGAGCTTATTAATCCCATGGGTCTATATATCATTTATGTGCTGATGACTTATTTCCTCAGCTCAGATACTCTCTTACTACAACCTAGATCTTCAAGCCAGGCATGGTAGCAAATGCCCATAATCTTACTATTTTGGGAGGCTGAGATAAATGTGGCAAGTTCAAGAAAGGCTGGGAAAATTATTGACTTAGAGAGACCTTGGCTCATAATAAAAAGAATATATTTAAATAAAGGCTGGAGATGTAACTCGGCGTGATGACCCTGGGTGTGAACCTAGTGCCCACCCATCCCCTGCCAGACCTACATCCTCATATCCAAATGCCAACTTGTCATCGGCAATTGAATGTCTAAGGCGTCTCTAAAACTTAGCCTGTCTAAACGTGTATAATCCCCATTGATTCTTTCCTGTCTCACACTCTGTATCTTACCTGTCCCCAAATACTCTCTGTTCTCCCTTCAACTTCAATTGAAATCATGCTACTTCACATATCTTCAATACTGACAAGCTTCAGTCACCATTTTTACCATGATCTCGCCCTTATGACCCCTCCCATCCCAACACCACAGTGATCGCCTGAAATGGAAGTCAGAGCACAGTCACATGCATGTGGCCTTATAATGACCAAAAGGTCACATGACCTTGTTCTCCATTGTCTCTCTGACTTCACCCCACCATCCTTGGTTTCGTGCTCATTTTAGCCACTCTGGCTCCCTTCTGGTGCCTGTGTCGCAGTTCCTCAGTCCACCAGGAACTGCCCCGCCCTGGGGACACAGTGGTGGCTGTCTGGCATGGTCTTTCCTTCAATATCCGCAGGATTCAATCTCTTCTTTCCTTCCTACCTTTACTCAAATGTCACATTTTCAGGGAGTTCCTCCCTGACCACCCTTCCCACAGTTACAATACCCCAACATTTCCTATTTCCTTTTTTATATTTGATTTTTTTCCCTTTGCCTTTGTCCCTTTCTAAAATTCTACATATCTTCTTTATTGTGTGTATTTCTTTACCTTGTTTATTGTCTCTTTAACTAGAATACAGTGTATTTCTATGTAAATAGAAATCTTTGTTTCATTTACTTCCAAATCCCCACTGTCCAGCAGTACTTAGAAAATAGTAAACACTCTACAAATATCTAAATAAATGAAAAACAAGCAAGTAGCCAAACATATTGCAAAGAGAACCAGATGAGACTTTAGAAGTAAAAAATAATTGAAATTAAACACTCAGCTGGATAAAAAGTCAATTATTTTTCAGAGACTAGCACAACATCAATAAAAGATATATATATTTCATGGCTCATCATACAAGGCTGGCATAAATTTGATACCCACGCTAGCACAGAAGGTAAGGAAAAAACCCCAGAACAATCTGCTCCATGAAAATAAGAATAAAGTTCTAAACATATTATTAAACAAAATTCAGCAAC